TACCTAAATGCTATATCTGTCCAGTTCCAAAGACATATCATCATATTAAACAGGATGTGTTCTGCCAGTTTATACTGTATGTAGACTGACATATTCTGTCTCAGAGATAATGATAATGCCACAATAAGCACTAGGCCAGCTACAGCACAGGAAATCAGTGGGCGATACATATTTTATACTGAGCCAGACCAGCCTGCATGGAAACATTTTAATTCCTCTTTCTTAAATTGGAAAGACCATCTAATCCTTGCAGCTATGTATTAAGCTGATAGTAATGATCGTTTATCAGACAATACAAGGTAGATCCTGCTCCTTTGTTTGGGAAAAAATCCAGCCATAGACTCCCAGTTTATGTACATATAACATGGTTACCAGATAAGCTGTAAATTCCACACTAGATTTTCCCAAGAACAACCTTAACCACTTCAGGTCTCGCACCGGTATATCTCTTATGGACCAGAGAAGTTTTTTTATTTCTTCTGAGTGCTGGTTTATTTAGCGGTAACTTTCTCATTACTTAAAGAAGAACTCCAGGTATGGAAAAAGTTAACCCTTGCAGTGGGGCTACCCCTGCACTGCAAGGGTTTACTGCTTGTTTTTCTCTGTGGGCCGGAATAAAGAAGATACACTCACATGATCCTCGGTCCTGTGGCGATGAGCATTTCTCAAACAGTTGCCGTGGCACTCTGGTGTGCCTTCTGGCTTCCACTGGGTTGCCTCAACATTTTGGGGCGGTGGGACTGTGATGTGAAGGGGGGAATGAAGACTGATGTGAAAGGAGCTCCTGGTGTAAAGGGGGAACTCAGATGAGAAAGGAGGGGGCTCCTGATGTGATGGGGGCTACTGATACAAAGGGTGACTCTGATGTGAAGGGGGCAGGGAATCTTGATTTCATTTGTAGTGGCGTTGCTTAGCCCCCTCCTTAAAATCTATGACATTCTAGACTGGGGTGCCTTGCGATTTTGCATACCTTTAAAGGGTGCACTAAGTATCTTACAACTGAACAGGGTTTACAAACACTGATCAGAATGTCTATTTTTGACAGCAGTGGTTACAGCCGGCTGCTGTATTAACACAGCCAGGAATTGCTGGTAAAAGCAGTGAGGGAGGATCAGTGTTAGGGGAAATGCCCAGGGTGTGCCCTGTGTACTTTATATACATTGGGGGGTGTTTATCAAAACAGGAACAGACAAAATCTGGAGCAGATTTGCACTGCAGCCAATCTGGTTCTATTTTTTATTTTCAAATCTTACCTGAGCAACATGAAGAGATGCTGATTGGTTGCCATGGGCAACTGCTCCAGATTCTGCTTGCTCCAGTTTTGATAAATTCCCTCCATTTTGTCTGGGCGTGAATAGCATGCTTAACAAAAATGGCAACCACACAGATCAAATTAAAACTAGCCTTTTAAAGTAAGGTGCACATGAAAGGGTTTTGCACAGTACAAACACAAACATTTCTCAGCACACTTTCCAGCTAGCCTGCCTAAAAAAAAAAAAAAAAAAATGAAAAATGACACTGTCTAACAATTTGCATTAAAAACAGAGGTTTTGGCTGCACAACTTTTGCAAAATATGTTGAATGCACTTCACAGAGGAGCCTTGACAAAGCAGTGTGGCTTCCACATATTTTGCAAGTATATGTGTATCAGGGAGAGGAGAGGATTAGAATGAAGCCATACATTTTGAGTCCACTTTAAGATGATATTCTTATGAAGGAACTGCGCCCAACAGTTGACAATGGAAAAAAGAGCCATGCATTGTAAATGGACTTTTGGGTTGAAAGTTTGCATGCCAGCAATTTGGTCTACCGTATGTTTTTGTTTACCTTGTGTTGGCATTACATACAACTAGCACCTACGTACGTTCAGCTGCTATAAAAAGTCATAATAATTTCTATCAGATCATGATTTCACATTTGAGCTCTCTTCACCTTTATCTAACAAAATGTAAGGTTTACCATATGGTCACTCAGTCTCAGGAAATAGTATCCACCAGCCAGGGGCATTAAACAGATGGCATTGGTAATGTACAAGCAAGGTGTAACTATTCTGCTTGCCTAGATAAACTAATCACCTTCTGATGGATGTATTTTCAACATTAATAAAACGGAATTTCTTATAAATTCATGAGCATGTGTATTTTAGGAAGAAGGAATCCATTTTCTCATAATTTAATAATTTAAATACATCAAATATGGTAAATAATAATAATTAGAACTAAAGTGTTACATTAGGATTTTTAATCACTCTGTAGGAGGTTTTGAATGATAGTCTCTCATGCTTTTTTAGTTAGCAGAACATGTTGCTAGGCAACTTTGGCCACCATATGAGAGGAAAATTATCCTATCCACGCTACAGGCAAAGCGCCTGATGTTATACACTTTGCACGAAATAACATTCATGACTTGCAATGCTATAACGTAAGATGTCACATGCTTTTAAAGATAATATAATGTAATACTTAACTGCCAAAACTGTAGTTTCAGTGTATATATATATATATATATATATAAATATATAGTATGATATTTTACTTTGGCAGGTTAGTTAATATATGTTTCGTAATAACAATGTAGTAATATAATATATTTTAATATTAATATTTAATCATTTTCCTTAAGCACCATGTTGCAAATTATTGTTATCTCACTATTTACAGGAGTAGAAGCCTGTCCCACCACAACACAAATATAGGTAGTGTTGGACTATGGTAACAGGGACCCACTAGAGGAATTAAGAGCAAGGGCCCAACTTTAAGAGGCATGGACAGTGCATGTAGCGTGGATTTGGGATTACTGTGAGTGTGTGGGTAAATAGGAATGGTTTAACAACGATGTCTTATTCCAAGTCAGTATAGGAATGTAGAGCTACTTTGAGGAAAATGTTTTTCTGAATACTAAAGATTTCATTTAGTTTTACAGTAGCGAAAAAGCCGACCCATCACTTGATCCATTGTTATTAAACGTATTATGGGAGATTGCCAGCGGCTGCCCATGTTGCAAAAGTCTTCATAGACTGCTTGCATGTAACTAAAGACTGTCAGAGACTGTTCTTAAGTAACAAGTTTTCAGGTGGTGGGGGTCCTCTCCGCACACCTTACAGCAGTCCTGGCCAAATAAGAACGGTGGTGCTCGCAATGACTATCACGGATGGCACCGTGCAAAATACGAAGTAAAAGAAACAGGTCACCAGCACTCGTTTAGAATAAATATGTCAGGAAAGGATATAGACCCAAACATACCAGTGGCAATACACTTTGCACAATTAAACCATCAAACACACGAACTCAAAGCAATGATTATCGAACACATACTGAGACCACATAGAGGTGGCAATAGAGACAATATACTATTACGCAGGGAAGCTTACTGGATCCATACGTTGAATACAGTAAAACCAAGAGGACTTAATTCTTCTCTATCTTTGTCCAGCTTCCTTTTAAATTGTCTGATGTTTATATTTCTTGATCTTTACAATGATAGGCACCTTAGTCAATGATTAATACTGATGTTTCATTTTAATACATTGGAGAATTTTTACTATCTATTTTTGGTTCTATATATGTATGGGACACCCATCTATATGTTTGGGTCCTCCAGAGATAACTAATTCATGCTAATTCTCCTGACACTCTTTTGATACATCTTAAAGATTTTTGGGCTGATTCTCTGTTTTGTTCTCATGTTTTATTGGGTGTATATGTCATGTATGTACGCTGTATCACTCGGTTTGTATGTTCCCTGCCTTGGTTCTTTATATGTAAATGTAAATATATCATCTCCTTTAATATAATTCTCTTTGTGCACACCTCTATTTTATACTTATTACTATATAATCTGTTTTCTCCCCCACTCTGATCTTGGAACGTTCATTGCGGTATATGTATAGTGTGGACATCAGCTCTCTTGTTTTTCCCACACCCATAATTGTATCTCTCCATCACCTTAGTAACCATGACGCGCATTGCACGCGCCGACATATTATGACGAGGGGCGATGCCGGACATACTGGCTAGGGATGCTGGATCATAATGCCAGGGGCGATGCCGGACATACTGGCTAGGGATGCTGGATCATAATGTCTCTAGACTGTCGTGCATACCTGCCGTAGCGATGTTGGACACTCTACCTACCGCAGCGTTCCTTTGGATCATCAGATTGTGGGTACAGTTAACTTATTATCTTAAATGAATTTGAATACGTTTTTTTTTTCTCCTTTTTTTTTTTTATGTAGTGAGATTTTGACTTTTAAAGATGGGGTTTTTCCCACCTTTTTGCCATCACTGAGGGTGTGGTTACTAATGATTCACTAATGATATGGGGTATATATGTAGTGTGTGAACACCATAACTCTGTCACAATTTTACTGCCTTGAAGAAGGGACCCTGTGCGGCCCCGAAACGTCGGCTCTGTTGATTGTAGTGACACAATTGTCCATTAAAAAAGGACATATTTATTCTAAACGAGTGCTGGTGACCTGTTTCTTTTACTTTGTTCTTAAGTAACAAACATCTGTCAGAGACTACTTGCATATAAATGCACACCATTGTTTTTTCCATTGACATAAAAGCTATCTGTGTGACAGTCCAAGACACTCTAATTTTCTTGAGTAAATACCATAATTCCATATTCCCAAGCCATAGTTTTGTAGCTCCAAAGATCCAAAAATCCATAAGAGGGAAAACCATAACCACACATGGTTTTCCCTCTTATGGATTTTTCTAGTGGTTGTCAATGGCACTGCCTCCTAAAAGAAATCCTGCTGGCTCCAGGTTTGGGCAAACTGGCTCTTGAATTCCATATTCATTTGCCTTGTTGTAATTTACTGTTATAGATTATTTTACTGTTTTTGCTGGGTCTATCAACACCCTTGTACCCTCCAGAGGATTGGGAGCCCACTACAAGATACACCTGGATATGTAGCAAGCACCATTTTAATCTTCTTTTCTGATGATACAACTCTCAGAATATTTATTGGATGTATTATATGTTTTTGGCAGAAGGAAGAAGGACTGCTTCGAGACTTAAAGGTTTGGATTGAACAGTTTGAACGGGAAATCAGCCGAGCACAAACAGTAGAAAGCAGCTTACAGGACAAATATCAGGTATGACAATATTCCTCCATTATCCTAATCTAATTTTTTTTTTAAACTGAAGTTGTCATTGTGTAGAACTGCATTCGGTGACATAAAATAAAGAAAATGAGCGAAGTGGACACATACAGCTATAAAACAATTCTTTTTAATTAGGAAGAATTAGAACTTTTGTTGTGTTTTTATTGCTGTCTCTGTCCACATTGGAAATTTGGAGTTGCATTTTTTAAGTTTACCTTTATGTTCTTAAAATGAGGTGTTCAGTAAATGCACACAGTAAGTTTAGTGATGTGTGTCACTCTTTTTTTTCTTAGTCTTAATGTTTTTTTTTTATTTTTCCTTAAATGAACTGTTTAACATATTTTTATTGTTCTTACAGTCATTTAAACAATATAGAGTCCAGTATGAAATGAAAAGGAAGCAAGTTGAAAGTGTTATAAAGCCATGGGGCAAAGATGGAAAATTATCACTTGATCAGACAATGCTGAAGCAAGCATGGGATAAAGTTTCAGCAAGGGTATGTTTCTTTTTGTAAAGTATATGTATTAGGGTGTTGTTGCACATGTTGGATTGGCCTTGCTTTTTATCATGTTTTTTATGTTTCCACATGATTATGATATGTATTTATACTAGACAAAGACTGAATCTGCCAATACAAAGTATGTTGAACAAACTGCACTGGCATATATCCTAAATGAGCCCACTTGGCATTTATGTACTGAGCAGCCAGCAAGAAGAAAATAATAAATATATGGCAACTAATTATGGTGAAGGACTACAGTTAGGCTCACTACAATGTTACCATCTCTCCAACACTCAAATTTTGCCCCCTAGGGCTAGTTCATAGTCACACTGTCACAAGGACTGCCATTGTTGGACTGCTTTAGATTATGTTAACTGCCTAGCTGTGGTTGACATGGGTACTTTTGAGTCACAGGCCCAAAATAAGCATGCTGTAAATAAAAGTGAGAGAAATGTCAGAATGTCTATACTGTATATGTTCCACGCAGAAAGCATTAAAGCTAGAGCTTCAGCATTACTGACATGGAACTAACCGCCCCAAAAAGAAAATTCAAAAATGTAAATTTCCATGATTCTCACATGACAGAGTTCCTATAATGCTTGATGTAAGCTCATTAAAACATGTGTTTTGTGAGAAAAACTAGGTTGACATTTAATTACATTTTCTCTTGATCTCATCTTAAAGTGATTTTAAAGTCAAAATGTTTTTAAGCTATTTCAAATGCTGATTGAGTCACTTACAATGGATGCTGCTCCAAAAATTTAGGGGGTTATTCACTTAGCTGCTGAAGGCAGCTGAGTGAATAACCGAGCCGAAGTGAAGTGAGCCGAACTCTGTTCTGCTATTCACTTCTGCCTTGTATGGCTGATTTCAGCCGTACATCGACTAAAATCAGCCGTAAATCGGCTGCCTTTGGTCAGCCGAAATGCAGAGGGGGTTCGAAGCTCCGTCAGCTCGCTCGCTGCCGTTTGCCCCTAGTCTCAGCGGAATTCGGCTTGGTTATTCTTGCTCGCTACCTCCGAGGTAGTGAGCAGAATAGAAAAAAAGTGTAAATGAATGAGAAAAAAAAATTTGGGGAAAAATTATTTTCAAAAATGTAAAAAAATAGGATTTTTTTTAAAATTAAGAAAATAATACAAATATTTTAAAGAAAAAAAATAATTTAAAAAACACGTATGAAGACCCGACTGCTCGCGGCGAACTTCCGCCACATAATGTTGAATCTGATAGATGCCGGCAAAATATAAACAATTGGGCAGAGCTAGCGGTGACATCACTACTAGCTCAGCCCAACTGTTTCCTATTGGCCGGCACCTGCCAAAGTCTTCTAGCAGGTAAATTACAACTGGGCGGAGCCGTCCGTTACAGAATCCCATAAAGACCCCATTTTGTAAATACATTCCCCTTCTCCACTGTCCTGTGTCCCCCAAGATGAGACCCCATTGTATTCTCTGCCTCATCCACCATGAATTCCTGCCCCACTCCTTCAACCATCACTTCCTGTGTTGGTAATTTGAACGCAGAAATACAAACACAATATAAATAAAAGAGTTAAGAAAACAATCTCAAATGAGGCAAAACTAAAATTAAAAAAAAATAATTATGCAAAATAGGTGTGTGGTAGGTCTCAGGGAGAATACAATTTACAGCTTCCTAAAATACTTTTAATTTGGGTTACAGAAAAACGTTTGCCCACTCCTAAAATCATTGCATTCATGAGCAAATAACACATGGACACAAATCCCAAAAGTTTGCAAAAGTATTAGCATATATGTGTCAGGAAAACAACAGTATTTGTTTTGCATATAAATGTTTTTAAAAATGGTAAACTCTACTTCTTAAAAGATAGTGCTGAGGCCAGATCAGAAAGATTTTCACATAATATTATGTCATAAGGCAAGTGAAAATAATTTCTGATTAGTTGTTTCAGGTTACTGTACTATGCACGTTATTCTTTGACTTATTAAAGGTCTGTATTTCCCATATTGGGTTTAAATAAATACCACAAGCCTGATAAAATTGAGAATAATGCTTGATGTGACTTTATTTCAGATTCTTGATTGGCATGTACAACTTGATAAATCCCTACCAGCTCCTTTGGGAACCATTGGCTCCTGGTTATATCGAGCGGAGATTGCACTCAGGGAAGAAATTATCATTCAGCAATCTCACGATGAAACAGCAAATATCATACAAAGAAAATTAGACCAACACAAGGTAAAAAAACATTATCTGTTTATCAAAACTAGATTAAAAATTAAAAAAGGCTTGCAAAAGTGATAGAACTGTAGGGGGACCAGAAGGGTTGTATCTTATCTTAAACCTCTTTTCATATCTAAAGGTAATTGAAGACTAGATGCCCAGACCATTTTAGCAGTATCACAACACAATGGGGTTGATTTACAAGGTGTTTGCATATTATATAGCTGTGCGAATGACATTTGCAGATCATTACTACCACAAGATGGAGCTGCACAGCAGCAAAGGGAGTACAATGCTTTACTGAGTTGTTCAGTTCACAGATTTGCATTGTAAGATATAGCAGATATAGATATATAATTGAATGTTGCATGTGATGATATCATTATAGTAAGGTATTAGATTAAATAAATATTGTTACTTTGCCAGTCAGTTGCATGCTTTAATGTTTTAAGTCTCCATTTGCAACCAGGCCCGGATTTAACATTGGGTAGAGTAGGCACGTGCCTACAGGCGCCCTCCATAGAGGGGCGTTGTGCAGATACCTACTCTGCCTAATTCCCGGTGTTATGTTAAGATACAACACTGGCAATAGCAAGGAGGATGCATTCTGCACAAAATGCACCCTCCTGCTCCAAGACCAGCCAAATCTACAGCAACCACAGGCTTCAGCGAATGCAGGGAAGGACCCCAGCGCTGTGTGAGGCTGCCCTGTGAAATGCCTGTCTGATGCAGACAGACGTTTAGGGCAGACATACACGACGCTGGGGTGCTTCTCTGCATCTGTGAAAGCCGGTGGATCCCACAGCAGGTAAGGGCGCCAGCTTAAGCTAAACAAATTTCCATTCATGCCTACAGGCACCCGAAATGGAAATCTGGCCCTGTTTGCAACTGGATCTAATTGAATGCTGATGCAGTCTGTTTGAGCTCCTGTCTTGGGTATCATGATATAAACTGTTGCCGGACAGGAATGGAAGAATTAACTAATTACTTGATGGTCATGTAATTCTATTCTAAGACCAGCTGTCTGACTCCGTCTGGGCCGTCTTTTGGGGTGGCAAGCTGTGCAGCCGCACAGGGCGCCATGGCATCAGGGGCTCGAGGCAGCCGACACAGCTCGACATCCGGGCAGCAGGGAATAGAGGAGGGGCACAGCCTGCAGCTTCTCCTCGGATCCCTGCTGCTCTCCCCCGCCTGTATGGGCAGAGGCAGTGGGGATCCGAGGAGAAATGGAGCACTGAAGCAGGTGGGGTGTGGCGGAAGAGGGATCCAGGATGGCTGAGTGGTGAGGAGAGACAGAGCTGCCGTCTATCAGATCCTGCCCGAGCGGCTCCATGCTTTGGCTCGGTTGAGCCGTAGTAACAGCCGAAGCAGGGAGAAAGGTTGGCCGAAGCCGACTGTTCTCCCTGCAAGTGATAATAGCTGGGCGGAGCCAACGTACTTGAATACATTTTTAAGATTTAACTCCTGAGTTTAGTGTCAGTTTAAGGCACCGCAACAGAATGGTATGTTGTGAAGGTGTCCTAAAAGACTAGATACATCTTAAAGAGGTGATACAGACCACCCATGTACATTCACCTGGAAACATGACCTGTTAGTGGTTTCTGGGCATTAGAATTTGGAAACTGTACTAATAGCTATTCCACACAGCAGTCTTGCAGTTTTTCCAAACTGTTGCATCACCCTTTATATCAGATCGGAATGAATTTTTGCTGAGCCTATTAGCAATCAAACGTTAATTATCTGCTTAGATCCTTAGACTGCATCCCCTTAATGGGTTTTAATATTTATAGAAGCTATAAAACATTTTTTTCTTCATCCTAAAACTATTCTGGCAGTCTAAATTCAATCAATAGATCAGCTCTGAAGTCAGGGAAACCCCTGAAAGCCAGGGGCTGTGCCAGTTGTACGTGTCTTCAGATGCCAGGATTCTAATCAGGTACACTTCTTTAGCACATACACTGAAAGGCTTTCAAAGGACCCATACAAAGCATTTATTAATACTGGCTTTCATGAAGGGATAAAATTGCATACCACTGTGACAGATAACATTTCCTAGTGCACAAATGCTGAACAGTGACTCATCTCTGCAGCCTGCCTGTTTTTTATTTTTCATTTCCACGATTATACGGCCAAAATCGTTTTCTGTGTTTCGCTTACTATATGCATTTCTTTTTTCATCTCCACAATTAGGACATACTGAAGAATCTGGATGGTTATAAAAAGGCTTTCCAGGAGATCCACCGCTCACGGTCTGTCAACGGAGTCCCCGTCCCTATAGAGCAGTTGGAAGACATGGCAGAAAGGTAAAAGGAGAATTTTAGAAATGAATCAGTAATTGTCAGCGATTGCAGAGAAATTGTATCAGGCTTTTGAAATGAAGAGAGAGGAGGGGGGATTATCCATTTGTGAAAGCATGATCACATTTGCATTGCTATTGCTAAATGAATCCTAGACTTTTTTTAAGGGGAAAAATAGAATATTTAGTGATAGTAATAATTACTTATTTAGAAGTTGTTGATGCTATTAAATGCTTTAAATGCTACGTACATATTATATTGTTCAGTACAAACTAGCTGCATTACAGGTTTGTTGCCTTGGAGATCAGCTATAACATAAGAATAGTATTTAGATTTTGAAGAATACAAGCTTCTTTCAGTCTTAAATAGCAAAATTATTTATATGGGACTTTTGAAGACCAGAAGAGCTAGGGGTTGGTAGGTTTTAGCTTGTAATACGAGTTTTAAAGGGTGATTCCACCCAAAACTATTTTAGTTTTTGGTGAGTACTGTTAGGTTAAATGAGCCAGCATCTTATCTTTTGAAGAGTCTAGCTGTCAGATTTTCACAGTCATTTGCGTGTCCGTTCTCTTCTGCAAGGCTGTAACAAGGATGTCACTTTCTCACAGTGATGATTAGGTTATTCTACAGCTGTACAAAACTCAGATGATATACTCAGCTGAATTGAGTGGAATAAATCTTTGAAGTATATCTAAAGGTGGCCATACACTTTACAACCATCGCAAGACCTTAGTCTTGCGATGGTTGTAAAGTAATTAAAAAAACGTACGATCTGCCCATCTTGGACAGGCAGATCGTACTTGCGATCATCGCAAGCCCGCCCCCCCTGAGGGACGGGCTTCCGATGACCGCAATGCTGAACGGGCAGTGTGCGCGTGCGCACACCAGCCCGTTCGGCATTTGTCTCCCGAGCATCATTCAAACCATCATTCAAATCGTAAGATTTTCGGCTGGTTTTCTAGCATGTTCCTTAGACAAAAGACGTGCGACCGCACAGTAGAAACGGTCGCACGTCTTCATTCACACTGCACGATTCTCGTATGATCGCAGGATTTCCCACGATTCTCGTACGAGAATCGTGCAGGGTATTGGCACCTTTAACCTTAGAGCGAAAATGTAATATATTAGAGCTTACCAATCTTAAGATGTGGCAGCTGCATTCATTTTCTTTTGTCAGGCTAAGCACATTTTCTGCAAGAATAGAAAAATACTGGTTGATCCTGAAAGAAATCCAGTATCCTTGTAGCTTCCTGTGTACTGAACTGTAATCTCAAACAATGTATTCTGCTTTCCCATCCATCTTCTGTCAACTACAAAAAAAACCTTTCCCCTATATAAAAAAGAAATGAAAAGAGGGAGATGTGTTTGTAGCCCAAATTAGAGGAGCAGCCTAGGGTGGCAACCCTGTTCTTCCTAGAATACAATACTGTTAATGACTGTCACCCTAGGACAGGAAGTGTTTTTCTGGCAGGAATAACAAGGTGCAAATAAAGGAAGGTGCAAAAAAAAGAAATGAATGCAGCCACCACATTAAAGAACTACTAAGCTGCCATATATTACATTTTCGGTTTGGGGTTTACATACATTTGAAGGGGCCGCACAATATCTGCTAATGGCCACAAGTGCTTCATTTCAAAAACTATAGCGCCTTTGTAATTTAAATGATATTGACAATTGCAATGTACAATATTTTATTAGAGAAGAGGTCAATAAAACATTTAACAGAGCAATTTGGCTGCAAAATGATGTAGGGTAGTTTAGCGTTTATTAACTGGATAACAGCTGTTAAGTGCGTGTTTTTATCTAGGTGCTAAAATAAAATAAATAAAATAAAAAAACTCACTCGAACTACAGAGCCAGCCATCTGTCACAGTGCCTCCTCCAGCCTGTCTCCTCCTCTGCTGCAGCGAAGGTATGTCCCTCAGCAACACTGTATAGGGCGTGATGACTCACAGGACCTTAGACCACTGCAGCAGAAGGGGAGAGTGGCGCCAGGGACTGGTCTAAAAACAAGCCGGCTTGGAGCTTCGGGTGAGTATAACTTTTTTTTAAACCTAGACATAAATTAGCATTTATCTCTTGCAGTGCAGGGGCACCCCACTGCAAGGGTTACATTTTGCCCAGGGTTCCACTTTAAATCATTAAACCAACTGAGGTCTGCAGGAGTTACCTAGAACTTAGCTCCTGGCTGGGATACCTTAAGTTCCCGATAGACATAAAAAGCTGGAATTCAACTCAACCCGAGTAGCTAGCATGCAGAACTCAAATATGAGTTGCAGCTGGAGTTGCTCTTAATTAACTTTTATCATTGCATCTTCACTGCAGTCTTTTAATAACGTATTGCATTAGGAACTGATGGATTTTTTTTAGTGTTTTGTCATTTGTTAAGCTCTTTATGGAAACTTTGTAATAAATAAATTATCCTGCTTAAATTAATACTAGAAAACATCAGGTTTCAGTGACAGTAATATAATATGTATCATATGGCAACATGCCTGTATTGTATAGCATTTCATTTTTTTAATGTTTCTTAAACTGACACTAAAGAGTTACATCTTAAAAAACATTCAAATACCTAAACTATTATCAAAAATGTATCTTATTTGTGTATCACTTGGCTGTAGATCCTCAAATCATCTCTGAATTGGTGCTGACACTGTCCTTCCTTCTGGAGGGTGGCTACTTTTGTTCCCCATAGTTCCTGTGTATGTAATAAAGTAGCCACAACTCCAAGCTCGCTCTGTGATGGACTACAATCTCACGTTTACTTTACTAGTTAGGAGGCAGCTGTTATTTATAATGATCATACGGAGCTCCTGGGATTTGTGCATTCCGGATTTAATGTATGATTTTATTTTATAAATACATATAAGTGATTCACCGATACTATTTTTTCAAGTACAAGTACTGATACCTGTCCAAGTACTCACACATACAACTACTGATACATTTTTATTTATTATCATGCGACAGTTTTTCTAAAACAATACAGACTAATGATTTCAGGACAGTGGTGGAGCGCCAGAGCCAGGTCCCAGCTGCAACTTCTGCAACCCTGGTAGTTCTTGTGAAAATGCCAGGTATCGGGACTGGTATATGAACTGGTATCTGAACATCCCTAGTTTGAATATCAGTCTGTGAACTGTAAGGCATGTTCGTATGCCTGAACTTTATTATGACTTATGCTTTGATATTTATTTTATCTCAACCACTTTGTGACACAAACTGTTTTTCACTCTCTTCAGGTTTAGTTTTGTTGCATCTTCCTCCCAGCTTCATATGATAAAGTTAGAATTCATGGAGTTAAAGTATCGCCTTTTAGCTCTTTTGGTCCTGGCAGAATCTAAACTCAAGTCTTGGATCATCAAATATGGAAGAAGAGAGTCTGTTGAACTGCTTCTACAAAATTACATTGTAAGTTATCATTCACTCTAAATATGAATGGTGAAAACAGTTGATCTTGTATCAAAACTGCTAATTCTCAGAGGCATTAGGGTTGATTTACTAAAGACAAATAGTCTGTTCACTTTTCAAGGGGATTTTCCTTGGCTTAGTGAATGAGGGGAAAATTCACTTTGCAAAGAATATACAATCATGTGCAAGGAAAATAAATTACAAAAAACCCACAGTATTTTTGCATGCACGTGATCAGATGATGGATGTCAGCAGAGCATCACCTCATTCACTAAACTAAAATTGCCTAGTTAAGTGAAAATTCCCTTGGAGTGTAAACAGGCTATTTGCCTTTAGTAAATCAACCCCATTGACTTGATTTAGTAAGGGTTATATATAAGGGATATCTACAGACCCAGGGCTATTGTTCATATACTTGTCTTTCTTTAGTTGGGAATGAAGTAGAGTTTGGGATGTTCTGCCTTGAGGAATAGAAGGTGAGGTTCTGCTGTGGGTGGGGTGTAGGTCACATATCTGCTCTGAACACAGGGGTTTCAAGTGTGGTTATGAGTGCAATGTTCCAGCTGTATCTACTATAAAATGTGCCTATGGCATCCTGCCCAGCTCCTGGCCACCAGTGACGTTACTGGTTGCAAGAAATGGGGTGGAATGCACTGGCCAGTATATGCAGAGCTCCTGGCAACCCGTGTAATGTTGCTCCTGTTGGTCCTGGCAACCCAGCATTATTCATGTTTTACACAAATGTGCCATCGTACAGCTAGATAGGTGGCACACGTACTCCTGGTTCAGCAATGCAGCTTCCTATGTCACCTCTCTGCCTCCAGCCACCTCCTCAGTGTGCAAGGAATCAGTATCATCACTAAGTGAAATAGTAAAGCTGGGTATACACGGCTATATTTTCTTCTTTCAACTTGTGGTTTGAATTAAGAAAATATAACAGATTCCTCCATCAACACTTGCAAGCGAGAATGGAGAAATCCCCCACTGTCATAATACCCGAACGAATCAGCTGCAATGTCCATTTGGCCGAGAACTTTCCAAGCTGCCCCGTAGCTGATCTAGGGATGCTGGGGCGGAATGGTGCTGGCAGCGGCACCCACTGTGAAAATTTTGGCCGGTAAATGAAGAACCAACTAAAATTTGCACCGTGTATATCCTTCTTAAAGCTATGTCAGAAAGTAGTAGAGTGATGTCCATGGCAGTTGTTTTCAGTTTTGTAAAACACAAAATTGGAAGCACAAAGCAACAAATCTTTAGTAGGTCAAAAAGTAAATATTTTTACTGCATATTTAGTTGTTTGCCTGCTGCTTTAATGCACACACTGGTCACCAAGGGGTTAACATACATACTCTGGTGACTGGTCACTAAGATGTAAAGGTATATACACTATTGGTTTGTCACTGATGTATAAATGCACACACTCTGGAGAGTGGTCCCAGAACTTGTAAATGCACATACTATGCAGATGGGAAACTGTGGCGGTGATGAAGGAATTTATCAAAGTTGGAGCAGACAAAATCTGGAGCATATTTGCACTGCAACCAATCAGCTTCTCTTTCTCATGTTTAAATCTTACCTGAGCAAACTGAAGAGAGAAGCTGATTGGTTGCAGTGCAAATGTGCTCTAGATTTTGTCTGCTCTAGTTTTGATAAATTCCCCCAATGTGTTTATTGCAGAGAATGGTCACGAAGAATTAATGTACATATTTTAGAGACTGGCCACTCAGAAAAAATACACATACTCTGGAGACTCAATATAATGTACATACACAACAGACCAGACACTGAGGGTTTAATACGCATACTATTTAGACAGGTTAGTACAAATATTTTGAAGGATAGTTACCAAGGGATTGATGCACATACACTGAAGAGTTGTCATTGAGGGGTTAATATGCATAGTCTGAAAACTAGTTATTGAGGACCTTACACCCTTAGGGATTAATGCAAGAACAATAAGGACTCGTCACTGAGGGGTTAAGGACAAGCTATGTAGACTGATCATTGAGGGATTAAATGCATATTATGGAAATATGTACACTGGAGACTGCATACTGAGGAATTAGGGTACATACTGTACACTGAAGAATGGTCACTGACATATTACACACATACGAGGAAGACTGATGACTGAGGCATTATTTTACATAAATTTACATATATTCTGAACACTGGTCGTCATTGGAGAGATAAGCCATAAACACTAAAGATTGGTCACCAGGGCCGGACTGGCCATAGGGCAGACCGGGCACTTGCCCAGTGGGCCGAGCTGAACACAATCAGCTCAGCCTGATTGTGTTCGGTCGGGCACGGCAGAGGCAGAGCAGACAGATGTAAAAGAGCGCCAGTCATTGGAGCAGGCTGATGCATACTGCACTAGTGCCTGACAGACCGACGCTCGTTTACTTCTGTCTACTCTGCCTCTGAGCAGTGCAATGAGAGGGAGGAGCTAATTTACATTGGGAGCCCGGCTGGGTCTGTTTTATTCAGTGCCTGCACCGGCAGATGGGGGACTTGCAGGCTGAATTTGGGGCAGGCAGCTTTGGTCACACTGCCCAGTAGGACCCCTGATGTGCAGGAGCAGCACAGACAGGTGCACTGAGTCAGTTTGAGCGCCAGTGTCGGCAGAAGACCGAGTTCATTGCAGTGTCTGACTGTGGCCCCTGACTGAAAGCAGCAGCTTGAGAGAGACCCTGAGGAGCTTGAGGCTGGAGTCATCCCTTTACATTCCAGGTAGGAGTAGCTGTGTGGGGTATATGGCGGCTCTGGAGTATCTGTGTGGGGGATATGGCGACTCTGGGGTATCTGTGCAGGGGGTTAATGGTGGCTCTGGGGTATCTGTGCAGGGGGTTAATGGCGGCTCTGGGGTGTCTGTGCGGGGTTAATGGCGGCTCTGTGCTATCTGTGCGGGGGTTAATGGCTGCTCTGGGGTAGCTGTGCGGGGGTTAATGGCGGCTCTGAGGTTGCTGTGCAGGGGTAATGGTGGCTCTGGGGTAGCTGTGCGGGTTTAACCACTTGATGTCCGGGGTGTTAAACCACCTTCCTGTCCAGGCCATTTTTCAGTATTCAGCGCTGCGGTACTTTGACTGACATTTATTCCGTCATGCAGCGCTGTACTAAAAGGAATTTTATAACATTTTGTTGGGCACAGATAGAGCTTTCTTTTGGTGGTATTTAATCACCACTGGGGGTTTTTTATTTTTTTACTATATTAAGGAAAAATTACTGTCAATTTTGAGAGAAAAAAACTGTTTGCCCTATATTAAATTATGACACATTTATCAGCACCCAATTTTTTGGTAAAATATAAAAGACGGGGCCACATCGGGTAAAAAGAAACCAAACATGCCAAGCATTAAAATTGTGCGCGCCTGCGAAACCTCAAAAAAAGTCAATACCCAAAATTGGCCATAGGCGACGTTTTACAAGCTTTTACCGCTCATTAGTTTAGTGTTATCAGTAATTGATGGCCCTAGAATTATTGCTCTCACTGTACGGTAAGGATCTGCCGTCCACTTGTAATTTTACAACGGGCAGACGGCAAGGGGTTAATGGTGGCTGCGGGGTTAATGGCGGCTCTAGGATATCTGTGCGGGGTTAATTGCGGCTCTGGGGTATCTGTGCGGGGTTAATGGCAGCTCTGGGGTAGCTCTGCAGGGTTAATGGCTTTCCAGCCAATAGAGTATTGTCTTTGAGAGACCAGGAAAAAGCTGTCAGTGAGGTGATGTTGTGGTTTGCCTGTGTACGGAATTGGTGGTATTTGCCAGAGTTGCTGGAGAACTGTGACCACTATTTCGGGAGCACTGACCTGTACAGAGTGTGGAGGATGGCTGAGGAGGTGGAGATCCACTAAGGATATTGTAAGACTTCTCTGTAGCAAGCTTCCTATATTGTTGCAAGGTTTGTATGTTGGTTGTCGCAAAGCTTGTGTGTTGGCTGTAGCCCTCCTTACTTACTGGTGGCTGGCTCTGCCCCTCAATTGTGCTTCCGGTTTTGGCTCCACCCCTGGAATGCAAGGGGGTGGGGCCTGTTGGGGGTGATGTGATTGGGCTGCTCAGTCTAAAATGCCCGGGCCTATTTTTTGTCCCAGTCCGGCCCTGTTGGTCACTGAGGGGATTACACATAACATTAAGACTGGCCATTGAATAATTACCATACTTATGCTAGAGACTCACAGTACTTAGGAGGAGGAGGAGGAACCAAGGGAGTAGGAGGAACATCAAGAGAAAAAGACAATGATAAGATATACCGTTATGAGGTGAGGTGAGGGGTGAACAATGTGATCACAGTAACAGATAATGATGCCAGAGAAAGCAGTTTGGGAGTACAAACATTTACTGGGTGGAGGGAAAATTAGAGAGAAGAGCATCACAGTCTTTATAGGGAATAGTAGGTAAAACCGTAAACATGGGCAAAATCCCCTTGTGGTGAAACCAGAAATGATCTTGAAGTATCAGTTTTTAATATACAGAATAGGGTTATAAATATGCATTATATTAAAATCTTCAACATCTGAACCATTGCAGCATTTTAATAGCACTGATCTGTTTGTTCCTTTATTTCAGTGTAAATCAAATGCAACACATCACCATGACAACATCTTCTGTAGAAAGCTCTAATAAAGGACCAACACTTCTAACATTGTATAGAGCACTTGTTGTCTGCTGAATCTAGACACTCATGTACTTAAGCATGCTGACTGGCAGTACAGAAAAGCATTTTTTTTTAATCCATCTAATAATTATGTTAGTTTACCTGTTTTGCTTAAGACATTAAACCATAATTAGAATGAGTCACAGATTGCTGCAGACTTTGAAAAATAAACAATTAGCTGAAATGGTCCTTTGTGTGACCTGCCATTGTTAGAAAAAAAAAGTAGGAGAGTGACAATTGGTGTTATTCACAAAACTGCCGTAGGCAGCCGTGTGTGAATAACTGATCCAAAGTAAAGTGAGATGAACGCTGTTTGGCTATTCATTTCAGGCTTGTACAGCTGATTTTAGGCTTGCTTCGGCTGGCTTCGGGTCGGCCGAATATGCTCAGCATGTTCGGCCGACCCGAAGTGTAGAAGGGGTTCGACTCAGCTGATCCACCATCTGCATCGGCTGAGCCGAACCTCCGGCAGGCTATTAGCTGCCGTTCTGCCTATTCTCATAGGGGCCGAACGGCAGTGAGTGACTAGCCAAATGCTACAGAGCGGCATTCGGCTCGTCTATTCTGCTCGGTACATCCGTGGCACCAAGCAGATTAGGAAAACAGTGAAAAAAAGTAGGAAAAAAGAAAAGAATTGGGCGGAGCTAGCAGTGATAGCTAGCTCCGCCCAACTGTTTCCTATTGGCCGCCAATGAATAACTGGGCGGAGCCAGCCATGATATCACGGCCGGCTCCGCCGAGTTCTCATTGTGTAATGACAGTTCAGCGTCCCCTGGTTACCAGGTAACCAGGGGACGCTGAACTGTCATTACACAATGAGAACTGGGCGGAGCCGGCCGTGATATCACGGCCGGTTCCACCCAGTTCTCATTGTAACCAGGGCACGCGGGTAACCAGGGGACGCTGAACTGTCATTGCAACTGGCCGAAGGCTCAGGCGGCCGAAGCTAGCCAAAGGATCAGCCGGAGCTATTTGTGATCCTTCGGCTAGCTTTGTGAAAAACACTCATAGCCTGCCTCTGCCTGTGGCTGTCAGAGTCTTGCAATTCCTTATGGGACTAGTTGCACCACCAATGCCAAAGTTGCCTACCGCTGTCCTATCAATTCTGTTAAGATCCTATACGAATATGAATAGAATTGAAAACATTTGTGAATAAACCAGCTCGGAATTCTTAGTGCCAAAAACAACAATGTTTGCATTATCTTTATTGAAAATGAAACTCTATGTTTTTCAATTTATGAATTATATTTTATGTTACAGATGTTTATTGACGGCAGCAGGTTCTTTGAGCAATATGAATTTACCAGCCAGTCTCTTAAGCAAGCATCTGAGATCTATGTTAAAGCTGAAGGATCAGGTAAGAATTGTTATTTATTAAATATACTGGGGGAAATGTATCAAAACTGGAGCAGACACAATCTGGAGCAGTTGCCTATGGCAACCATCAGTATCTCTCTTCAGTTTGCTCAGGTAAGATTTGAAAATGAGAGAGAGAAGCTGATTGGCTGAGCTGATTTTCTATAAATTCCCCCCAATGTATATTATCTACAGATTATATAACTTAACAGGATCTGGTTTATAAAGTTATTTGTCTTCCAAATTCATCAATTTATGATTTTCAAAAACCTATAAGAAATAAATATCCAGTCCATTCCATGTGTTTTTTTTAATAAAGATCGGATTGTCTTGTTTTGTAACCATGAACACTTTTTATATCTACCTTTTAAAATCAGACCCAGATATAAGCTTTCTATTTACCCACTTGCTGCCATTTTTGGAAAATCAGGCACCTTGGAGCACCACCAGAATGTGACCTGTGCTGTTTATGGTTGACCTAATACAATAATTACTTTAACTGATGCCTTTCATAGGACTTTGAACTTAAATGGAATTAAATTACTTGTTTAAAGACAACTAGCAGCTACAGTTTTCATGTAGATTTAACAATTTGCTTGTCAATAAGAAATATCGGTATTCTCTAACGTAGTTTCCAAAGTGGACTTTGACTGTGTGGTATCCTGGAAACAGAACTGATGCGATATGAAAGCAGGACATTGATTTAAAATAAGAGCATTGCAGTCACTAAATATAACCAACAGCAAAAAGTTTCCCGGCACACTCACCAGCCAGCATGCAAAAAAACGTGTCTCACCGCTAAGGTTAAAAACAGAGGTTTAGTTACACGACTTCTGCAGAAAATGAGAAAGCCGCACAGCCGCGCCAAGGCACCTCTATATAGTGCGGTCCTAACTCTAAACTATGAGAGTCTCCATCTTGGAGCACATGTGGCAAAAGATAAAATTGGGTGCAGGTTTGTCAGGATGAAGCCCAACCTCCCTTAAATGCACAGGGATGCACAGGGGACCCCGCACATCACAACGGAAGCTGATACCCCCCATGCGTCACTGCACCAAATCAGTGAAGCAAAACAAATGGCAAACGCACTCATCACTTTGTTACCAGCTTTACAGCAAGGTGCACATGGAAGGACTTAATACAGTACAACAGCAAAAAAGTTTCCCAGCACACTCACCAGCCAGCATGAAAAAAAAACTTGTCTCACCACTAAGGTTAAAAACAGAGGTTTAGATCCACGTCTTCTGCAGAAAATAAAGACTCATAGTTTAGAGTTAGGACCGCACTATATGGAGGTGCCATGACGTGAATGTGCGGCTTTCACATTTTCTGCAGAAGACGTGTATCTAAACCTCTGTTTTTAACCTTAGCAGTGAGACAAGTTTTTTTTTCATGCTGGCTGGTGAGTGTGCTGGGAAACCTTTTGCTATTGTACTGTATTAAGCCCTTCCATGTGCACCCTGCTGTGAAGCTGGTAACAAATTGATGAGTGAGTTTGCCACTTGACTAAATATAAGCAAACACTTGTCCCCTTGCCCAGCACCTGACACCCTGAAACGTTTTGTGCCTGTGGCTTCCCATTCATTCTTGCATACCAATACAGCTTACAAAGAGCAGAGTAAAGCTCCTTTTGCATTTGGGGAGTAAGATATTTTTACACGTCAGTCTTTTTTGTATTGTACAATTTGCTAAATGACAGGAGTGGCAACACATGCAGCAATCTTAATGTTTCTCTTTTAATCCATGTGCCTGTCTGTTAAAGGCATGGGAAACCCCAAAACATGTATAGTTTTAGACTGGATGGATTCAGCTCGCTTGTTTCAAGCTGAACAGGATATCTTTATCAATTTCTGTGTTCAGGGTATCTTGACTGATTATCTCCATAGCGTCTGAGCTACTGACCTCTGCTTAATCAGCAGAATTGGACAACACTTGCCAACCTGTTTAGACATTAATCCCTGTCTTCCAAAAACTATACTCAATACCGAATCAGCTTGTCATTCCATGGCTCCTAAATGTTGTAGTTAAAATGTTATATGTCTTTATATGGTCGACTACATAGATTCAGCCTGTTTCTCTTAACACAGAAACCCTTTTTGATTAAGGAATATAAAAAGAATACCCTTTTTGATTCTGGAATAATTTAGGGATGCAACTGTCTAACAGCAACCTGTTTTATATATTATTTGTGTGTATGCAGCTGAAGAAGCTGAGAGTGTCACAAAGTTTTTAAATGAGACTACTATCCAGTGGAGGAACTTATCGGTGGAAGTCAGAAGTGTCAGAAGCATGCTTGAGGAAGTCATTTCAAACTGGGATAAATACAGTGGTACAGTGGCCAGTTTACAAGCTTGGTTGGAGGATGCTGAAAAGATGCTGGATCAGCCAGAGCATGCCAAAAAGGTGAGCAGACAGAGGCAATTTATTGTGATATATTTGATGGTCATGCCTAATAGAAGAAAAATCCCTGGCATACTTCTAGATGTATTTATTCATATGCTTTCTAGTAAGTGAAGGGCTTCAGGTGGATCTTTGATTTGCCCTTTAGGGCAATAATAGGATTATTTTAGTTGTCCCTCTCCGCCAGCTACACATACCTTTTTTCCTTTTGGTTTGGTCACCAAAAAAAAAGACAGAAAGCCATGTGTAATAACTTACATAGGACTGATAACTCCATCTCCAATTTCTTGTAACAGTGCTGGGTGCACAAGAAAGCAAACACTAAGTTTTAGCACTAGCACTTTCACAGGAGAAGAAGGGGATTAGGTCACATACTCCCCATACCTATTAGTGCCAATTATTTTTCAGTAATCCCTGCATCTTGGCAGAGTGGTGAGTATATTGGAAGGTGAGGATGTGCAGTTGTGAAGGGCAGCAGTTAAGTAAACCTATTGCTTTGATCTGCATTAGCAAGTCATGCTGTGGTCTTTAATTAATTTCTCATCTGTCATCAACATGTTGATATTTGTACTCCTTTATAGCATTTAGTGGTCTTTAAGGACCCTGTATGCATATCTGTGTCTCATATTTACTCCCAAAAGTGTGTAAAACTATTGTCAATACCTCCTACATGGTCATCCAAAACAAAATTTAAAACGTGTTCTGGGTTTAGTTGAACTTTAAAACAGACTGAATCTCACATTTTGGAAAATATTGGAGCTCCTAGTTACATGAATTCCTATCCTGAAAATTAAAATTTTCTATATTAAGTCTTGTTAATGACCTGTTAATCTTTGTACCATGACTTATAATACAGGGCATATTTATCTTGTTCAGTGCATCTATTTAGGGATATAACCTGACTGTAACATGCTGGCTTGCCTAAGTGCATACACTGTCATTATTGTGGGTTGTCATGGAAACACAGACTTCCCAACAATGGAACTAGTGAGTGAATTATAGAACTACTGTATTTGGGTATACATTGAGCGTTAGATTGTATCAGATTTAATAATTAGATTGCGTTTAGCCCAATGTGAAAGGCCTGCAGTGAAAAGCCCAGTAAAATAATTTAATTAAACAGCGGTGGGTGTGTAAATATCTTTCAACCCCACGCCTCCATTTCATGCAGTTAAAATTCCAGGTGCCAGTTATCCAATGTACCTAAATAAACCAAATTTTTCACTAAAAGTATAACTATGGGCAAAATAAACAAAAAAAACGAGATTCATATCTCTAGGTTTAATTACCTTTTGATCCTGCCAATAGATGCATTATGTTTCTACTTCTTGTAACAGGCCAAGCTGTCAAGCAAAATGGCAGTTGCAGAAAGCCCCAGTCTCAGTTGCTAAATGATCAGGGCAGCTGTTAGTCAACCAGCAGAGGGGATTGTTTGCATTGGATTAAATAAATGTACAGCTGCTTGTAGTTCACACATGATGGTGACCACACTCCTTTAGTATTGACACTCAGTCACAGAACATATAGTGCCCACGGTCAAAGCACGCAGACAGGCCATACACATAGTCGGGCCACACTCATTTACAGAACACAGATAGGCTGCACAATAAACAAAAGTTATACACAAACAAGCTTTAGGAGCACTACTACCCTGGAATTACTGATATCTAGTTATATGTGAAACGGACAAAAAGACTCACAGTTAGAAGATAGCTGGTGTGTCAGAAGATCCCCTGGCGTCTAAGTGCCAGGTCCCTGGAAGGAGCCTAGCTCCAAAGGTGGATAGCTCCAGGGGTGGGTAGTGGCAGGTCTGACAGAAGTGTGGAGCAGTCAAGCAGCCCAGGCCAGTTGTAACTTCTTCCAGGGCGGTGGTATAAATTAAATTTAGTTAACACGTACTTGGCATGCCAGGCCGAGCCGCGGCAGCTTGAAGAGGGAGAGGAGCCGCGAACCGCTATGATACACTGAGCACCGTGTGTCCACAGGTTATGTCGGGCTGGTATCTCGGGGGTGCGAATAGTCATACACGTGAACAGTGTCCGAAGTGGTGGAGAGCTGTGCATGGGGTGAGGGCTCTCAATGGAATGCTGGCTACGTGTTTCTGTGCCTCGAAACGCATTCAGGGCCCATACAGCCAGAGCACACAAATATTCTAAAATACTTCAAATATTTAGTGTTGTTAGAAGAGCATGACAGCAGCATGGCAGAATTACTATTTCTGCACCTAGAATAGCACTGACATGTTTCATGCATTTAATGCATATATGTCCTTAATAAGGAGATTACCCTGTTCTATATTTGCAAAGTAGTGACTTGGATCCAATGAAATAAGTGCATTGCAAAGGAAAAAAGGACATGTTGGCTTTACTAAGATGCCACAAGCACAGCCCAGCCCATTGCATATATGGTCTATATATGTGTTTCTAACGATGCATTCAGTTCTTGTAAACATGGAGATCGTTGGCAATTGTCACAAAATGCATTAGCAACACACAGAAAGCTATAGAAAGATTATGTCACGTCGTAGGCAGATATAGGAAGTTTATTTATTTATTACAGGTATTTATATAGCGCCGGCAATTTACACAGCGCTTTTACATAGCGTACATTCACATCAGTCCCTGCCCTCGTAGAGCTTACAATCTAAGGTCCCTATATCCCATGCATACATACAAGGGCCGATTTAGACAGGAGCCAATTTACCTTCCAGCATGTCTTTGGAGTTATAGTTGTGGATGTGGGGCTTTGGAAGTATAAAGCGTTTCAATGTACAGATCTGACTATTATATTCATACAATAATCTTCCTAGCATTGTCATAAGTTTGGCGCTTATGTGTTGCAGGCCACATGACCGAGTTAAATCAATATTTGTGCATAAGCAAACATGTTCTAATGTTTGTAAATTCCACTGGCCCTATAGCATACCACTGTGTGACTCTGATGAACCATAATGATATATTGCTATCCTCATATTTTCAAAACTTTATTTGTTACATTTGATTAAAAAAAATCTTTTCTTGAAAACCATGTGATTTTTTTTAAAACTCTCCTTTAACACCTTCATTACTCTGCCTGTGTGTAGGAGTTCTTCCGCCACTTGCCTCACGTGATCCAGCAGCACACGACAATGAACGACTCTGGCAATTTCCTGATTGAAACTTGTGATGACACAGTGTCTAAAGACATCAAGCAACAGCTCCTATTGCTGAATGGCCGTTGGAGAGACCTATTCATGGAAGTTAAGCATGTATGTTGATATCAGTTGATGCTATATATTTTCTTATAGGATTAGTTCACCCAAAACTCATACTACTAAGAGTTTAACCCTTCAGTGTCTCTCACTCTCCCTGTTATATTTTGTATTTATTTTAAAAATGATGGAGAATGCTACAACAAATCTAGAGTAAAGGTGGCCATACACTGCACGATTCTCGTACGAGAATCGCGGGAAATCCCGCGATCGTACGAGAATAGTGCAGTGTGAATGAAGACGTGCAACCGTTTCTACTGTATGGTCGCACGTCTTTTGTCTAAGGAGCATGCTAGAAAACCAGCCGAGAATCGTACGATTTTCGGCTGGTTTTTAGCATGCTCCGGAGACAAATGCCGAACAGTCCGGTGTGCGCACGCCATATGTCCTGGCTCTGTTCTTGCTCACTTTTTAGTTTTGACTGTTTGGTGTTCCCACTCTTTCTATTGTGTTCCATTTCGTAGAAAATATATGACGTTTAAAAAGTAGATTTGAACTACCTTTAAATGCATTCAGACCTAGGGATTCAGGTTCTGCTATCTAACTATTGGAATTTGGAAGAGATGTAAAAAAACTGGTCAGTGGTTTAGCTTTCCGGTATCTACCAGAAACTGAAATTTCACTTTAAAGTAAACTTGCCATGAGAAAAATAGCTGGGGCTGCCAATGCTGTTCTTTGAAAATTGCTGTTTACATTTTGGTTTCAATGCTTCAGACCGTTAACAAGTATGCAGATTAGAAAATTCGAGAAAAACCAAAAGCCATTATCTGCATACTTGTTCCAGGTCACTTTTTCCATGGCATGTTCCATGTTTCTCTCAATGCAGATTTCCTTTGTGGTAGGTATTTGTGCCAAAATGAAACCCACATATTCATGTTAAAAGCATCAAGTTTCCCCTTAAAGCATAATTCATAGCACAAACACATGTTAGTACTCACCTGGCAGAACATCCATTTTCTTTATTGTTACTGCATTTAATACATATGTTAAAAAAGGCCCACATGGTAAACATGGCATCAATTATATTGAAGTGTTAAATGGTTTATAATCACTTTTATTCTAGCATGCTTGGTGCTACAGCACTAGAAACTAACATTGTTTGGCTTCAATAAGTAGCTAGTTAAAGTCTATGTGGAGCCTATTCGTGGAAAATACAGCACTCACTTATAACTTTTCCTAGGACAGGGCAAACGAGAGAGACAGAGCACACTTTAGTGCTGAGCACCTTCCTCTCTTCCTTTCCCAGCCCATACAGAGAAGAATGTCCAGTCAGGTTCGGTTGTACAAACTTTAAGCTTTACTCCAGAAAAGCGTAAACATTACAGTCCTTCCAGTATTAAACAGAAACTTTTCCATCACAGGTGCTCAAGCAGGCACATCCAACAAAGCAAATATTTTCCTTTTCAGGGTGGCTCAGGTGCCAACTTAGTCGCATAGAGGTTACTCAACTATCTATCCAAATTAACTCAAGCTACTGAATGACATTTTCTTCTCAAGAGGGTACTCATAGAGTGAGACGCAGACGTTTTGGCTAACACATTTTAACAGGAACCCCTTTCCTGCCTTAGCTCCACCCACCTGTCTATTTATATTCTATGCTAGGGCACATAGAGTGGCATGTCTGTCACCTGGCAACCAAAATGTGGGACCATCCCTTAAGGGATCCTAATACCCCATTTCATATGGAAATTTGCATGCTAATTATATTGTTCCATTGGACTTTTTAAAATAAAAACCCAAAAAGGACAGTCTTGCTCTTAGTTTTCAGAATCTGACATATTTATCAGACGTTCTATAGTTCATTTATTATCAGTTAATAGGGGTGATGTTTAGTCTGTCAGCACATTTGTTGTGTGAAATAGCATACCTTTTGGAAAAGCTGTGTTTGAGGAACCCTTTAATGATGTTTCTTCCCTATTACCTACATGTTGTATTTGATATAGTCGGCTTCATTTGTGTTCAGAGAGGTTATTGTTTTGGTCAGGTCATACAATTCAGGTGTTTGTTAAATGACGTCCTATGTGTGTTTTTTTCATCTATACTGTATGCATCTTTGTAATAAAGGTATGCAGCCTCTGTGTGTCCTTAAAAATTATCTAATGCTTCATTGTCCTTTTCTGCAGTATGCCAGAGCAGATGATTATGACCGGGCAAAGAGGGAATATGCGGAGGGTTTGATAGCACTGGCAGCATTTGCAGAAGGAGGCAACGAAAGAATTTCCATCCCGCTGGAAGTGTCCTTTTTAAATGTCAAGATGTTTGTTCAAGATTTAGAGGCATGTTTTTTTTTATCTTTAAATGTTTTATGATCTTAAAGTGGTCCTGAACTCAAAAAGTGAAGCTGTTATAGGGAACATCTAGAAATGTTCATTGTGACTAAATTGTATGTTGAAAAATGTAAGTTGTCTGAAATTACTTCTTAAAAATAGCACTGCACTTTCTGTTATGTGAAGGTGACTAGGCACTCCCTGCGCCTACAGCCTCATAGTTGTATATCTGCAGTGTGAGTGCTAAGGAACGGCTCAGGGACCTGACAGCAGCCTTCACACCCCTGCCTGTCCTACTGACAATCCAGTAATTAAGCTCTGGCTGCCTTACCTCCCCACTCACAGACATCCGTCCCCTGCTATCTCACAATCCCCCTTCACCCCCACACACACATCCCTGCTTGACTGCCTCACTGATATCTGCAGTGCACATCCATTCCTGTCCACCTCACCACTCCCCTAATCACATGCTTTAATCCCGAGCCCACCTCACCATCCCTCCACTGACATTAACTACCCCTCTCACCCCTTACACGCAACCATTCCTGACCACCTCACTATCCCTTACTGACAGACATCCACCACTAATCACCTCAAACATTTCTCCCTAACTGCCTGAGGGACTCTCCCGAGTCCCGGCACCAAAAGACATCCCTCCCCAGCCTCCTCACGCACCCCACTGACAGACATCCCTCCCTAGTGGTCCCCCACTTGTCCTCAATAATAGACATCCCTCCCTGGCTGCCGTACATTACCCACATACAGACATCCCTGTCTAACCACCTTATCTAGTCCCGTTCCTCCCCCCACATCTGAGCCACCAGAGAAAAGCTTTATGACACCGGCTTTAGCCTTTTCTGAAAAACACAAGTCCTAATCACATATCTGTGGTATCTCCAAAAAGCAACTGCAGGTAGGGAGACCGAGGTTTGAACATCTACCTAGAATGTTATCTCTCAGCAGCAGCTGCTTCAGATGATTTTTGTGCTATTTTTGCTATTTGTATGACATGTATTTGAGGAAGTGTATCTCATGTGCTTAGTCATGCTTGCCAGAAAACTAACAATTGTGGAGCTAATTGTGGAATTATTTTCTGTTTATCACAGGATATCAAACAGAAAATGCCAATCATAGAAGCTCAGTATAAGTCAGTGACAAGGATGGCTCAGCTTCTTACAAAGGAATCGCCACCGTCTGAAGCCAGTGAGATGTTGGCAGCAGTGGCAAGAATTAAGGAACATCTAAATCGAGTAAATTCACTTAACACTCCCTTTATTCTACATATACATAAGTATTCTGTCTTTATTATTACAATTAAGGCCAGCTCCACCCTAAGCTAATGTTGCATCTTGCAAAGGTTGCTGCCAAGTTCAACTACATCCTGGTTTCCTGTATATCTTGGGGTATACCTTGGGGGTGAAGCAATATCTACAGTAGAATTTCTGGATTCACCCAACTGTAATGGCCATTACAAAGCCAAACAATGTCTCCAATAACACCTACTTCATAAAGAAGAATACCTAAATAATAAAGACTACAAGAGAGGAACGCCATATTTTTTGTATGTGCCAGGGTGCCCACAGATGACTTGGATAGATGCCAGATTCAGTCAGTCTGTGCAATATCTATTTTTGAGTGGTTATCATAATTTAAAACCCAAGTGTAGTACCACACTTTTTTTTTTTACCCTTTAAAGTCCCCCATGCTATGATTTGTGACCTTTATTCCCATGAAAAAGCCTTAAAATAAATTGTTATGTCAGAAAAACATTCTGCTTCCTATATCACACTCCAGTGGTCTCTGCTGTCAGAGTTGAGTAACAGAAGGAGAGAGGGTGTATCAGGCAAGTTCTGATATTGACAGCTGATTACTGACAGCACTAGGTTTAACCCTGGTTCCTACTGGACTGCACAATCATATTTAAACACCCTGTTGTAATGGGAATGTAAGAGAACACTATGAGAGGAGAGGTTGTTTTTACAATGTTTATCTGACTGCGTATCTATTTCTGTGACCTCAATTGGGCTTTAACAGATTTTGGGTTGTCATTTACTTTCTTGACCAAATTGTCTTAAATAGGATTTTTTTTTTGCTTTGCCATGACTATTGAAAGGGAAATAAATAATATCACAGACCTAAGAAATTTGGCAATCTAAAGACATCTCTCCTGCTCATTTAATCATTATAATATGGTGAAAATATAAAAAAACTGTGGGGTGTTTTCAGTGATTTACTATTCCATAATAAGAACTGAATAACCTTTATTTGGCAATATCCACAGATACGGGAGCGATATCCTCCTCTATTGTATGAATCACAACAACTTCTATTGCCACTTGGAGAGTTTGAGGGTCACATGACCATTTTTTATGAGACTCTTGAGAAACTAACTGGAATTATCTCAATGTCAGACATGGATTTACAGTCGACTTCTGTTCTTAAACAGAAGCAGCGGGTATGTATTATAGGCTACAATTTAATAATACTGCAGACTGTATATTGAATGCAATGGAATCAGTTCACAAAAGCATAACACATGCAGTGTTTTCAACATCATATACTATTAGCTTTATTTGCAATTGAAACTGTTTTAGCTGTAGATATGCTTTAAATCGGATATGAGGTTCAAATATCTCATGCATTAGTAAACTGAGACTATGGAATTGTTTAGATAGGCATCCATCCTCCCTTCTCTGAGTGCAGTGGTGAAGAAATTGAATCACCCTATATTTGTAATCTATGTATCACTGTCTATGAGTTTTTATATTATTTATTAAACAAGCCACTGTAGAAAGCATTAATGATGATAAAGGATCAGTAACTCCTAGCAAATAATCATATTTGATCTTAATGTGGTCAGATCAACCAGTGTCAGTAAGGGTTATCAATCTGTCTGCAGTACATAGAACATTTCCCACCAGTTCTCAGCTGGTACATTTTAGTGATGTCAGATTATATACATAATATTATGCCAGACATAATATGCACAAATAATAATGTATTTTTTTTCAGCAGTAGCATTGTAGTCACAGAACCTGACTGATTTATCAGATAATCTAATGGTCTAAACTTAAGTGTAAAGGAAACCTGTTATTGGAGAAACATAGAATATGCCTTTGCTAATTTTTTGTCTAAATTGCATTTTCTTCAATCATGTGCAAGGCAAAATCAATTTTTTTTAAATTCTCCCGCACATGACTGGGTACTCGAAGGGAGCACATGTTCACTTTATTACATTTGCTTAGAGAAAATTCTCTTTGCTAAGTGCAAATTATTTGTACCGTTAATTAAACAACCCCACTAACAAGTATGCACAAGAGCTTTTGACATTTTGCAGACTTGGGGACTCAAAAAGGAGCAGTGTGGCACATTTATAAATCTACATGACTGGTTCTCCTCTGGCTCATTTGTAAAGTTATGATTGTCTCTTCTCAGTCAAGGAGCTTTTTCTTTTGCCTTAAGTAGAGAGAACTTTGTAGGGCTCTGCCACCCTGATTTTTATGAATAGGGTGGGCCGTGATGTGTGTAGCAAAATGTTGTACATCAGAGAGTCGATAGCGATATCCCATTCCTGTTATAAATTAGGCCCTTGGTTTCTTTTGTTGTCTGCATAATTGTTCCAGGTCATTGGCCAGTAAATATTGAATCCAGTGGATTAACATAGCAACTAGGCAACCAGCATTTTGGTTATCAAGAGGTCATCAGTGGCAGCTCAGTATTCCTATCAGGACAGTTTTACTATAAAATAATTTATGATAACTGCATTTAAAATAGAGGTCTAACACAGTTGTGTTAATTGAAGGTCTCCATCAGACATTGCAGAATGGCAGTATAAATATTTATCTTTATTTTCATATTGCAGGAGCTAATAACATATCAAGAGAACTGTAAAAAAGCTTTGGTCATCATTGAGAAGAATGGCCAAGCTGTTCACAAAGCACTGACAATCAGCAAATCGTTACACCATTTTGACCGATCTCTTCTGCAGAAGAAAATAACAGATGCTCAGTCTGCTTTTCAGGTGATTTTTGGTTGATGACTTCATTTCTGACTCCCCTAACTGTCACTTTGCAGATTCTTATTCTTGTTGTTTTTTTTCCTACTGTTTTTTCCACCTCTAAGTACTTCTTATCCACAGCCTTCTGTGTCCTACACAAGTTGTCAGGAATACCTATAAGACACAGTGCAGAATGTAAAGCAATAAGGGAATTTTCATAAAATATTTGTGGGAACCTGCATTAAATAAGCTGTGCTTCCTATTAAAGATCTTTTCTACAAACTTTGTGTGCCTCTTCTCAATTTATCTCTTCCTTTTACAGCATTTTGAAGTCAATCTGTGAAAATGGTAGAAATTTTGAGCAATTTATAGCTGCAAAAATAATAGTCAGCATTTTGTTTCTCCCTAACAAGCAGAAGTTTAATAAAACAGAAAATGTATTGGTCCTTTAAGTATAAATTCTTTATCATTCACTAAGGGACACAGGATCAGTAGTTATTCTGATATATTTTGGTTATACAGCCACCTACAAGAGGATTTTGATACTGGCAAAGAAAAAAGCCATTGACTAGCTAGGTATGACACCTACCACGCCCAACATGCTTAATTTTTTTGCTAGTGTGCTAGGAGGCTGGGCATCTTTTTTTCTATTCTGATATTACTACCCATTTTTTTTATTCTATTTTTTCTCTCGAGATACAAAGTTGTTCCTGTTAAACAGAATGGCATTGTATCCCAAGTACAAGGGAAATAGTCCTGCAGCATCAGGTCACTCCAGCCTTTGATTCATCAACAGTTTGGACTCTGAGAACATCGAAGATGTGTGCTTTGATGTTTCAATCTTTTCAGCACATCAACTCTATCTCCATTTTGTTGTGGTTATTCAACAGTACCAGCTTGCAACCCTACCATTTGGCTCAAAAGCTGGCCGTCAATGTAGAGCAGACAGTGCAGATGTTAAAAAGGTTTTGCTGAATCCTGAACATTTAGAAATCAGCAATGGAACCCACACATCGCTTGGAGTATTTGGGTCTCATTCTAGACACAGCTCAAGCAAAATTTGCTCTTCCTCAAGAGAAGTACCTAATACTCCACTCTCAGACTCTGCAGTACAGAATTTTAGATGTTGTCTACATCAACCATCAGAGAGGAACCAGATGTCTGGCTGTGGCAAAAGAAGTAAAAATTATTCTAGCCTGGGCAGAACTCCAACTGTGGTGAACTGTGGTTCACATACCAGGCATGTATATTTAGTAGGCAGGCTACCTCAGCTGACAGTGTTGAACACAGGGGAATGTTTCAGGATCTATGACACTGGTGGGGTCCTCGGATGTGGATCTCCTGGTCTCCAGATTCAACAACAAACTAGACATGTTTGTTTTCAAGTAGAGAGATCCTCTGGTGGAAGCAGTGCATGCTCTTGTGACCCCATGGGATCAGTGAAGTCTGATCTATGCCTTTCCCCTCTGAAACGCCTTCCTTGTATATTCTGTAGGATTGAGATGTAGGACATTCCAGTGATACTCATAGCTCCAGATTGGCCCAGGGGATGTGGTACTCTGATCTAATTAAACTTCTAAAATTAAAACATTTCTCATGTTTTAAAAGCTAGAAAGTCTACCTGCCATAAAGTTTACCATTGTACATGGAAGGCTTACTACCACTTAATACTAAGCTTTACCCATGGAAAATGTCCATGGGACAAATCCTAACCTTTTTACAATCTGGTTTAGATCAAGATTTGTCCCTTAAAGGACAGATCCCGGCCGATTTTATTCCAAAAACTGCTATCTTCTTATTCTTTGGTCAAGCCTTTTGTACAGGGTGTCTCTGTCCCTTCAAAGTTGTGTTCCTTGTGGCTATCACCTCTGCAAGATGTGTGTCTTAGCTGGTGGCTTTATTCTGTACAGAACCCTTTTTGGTTTTACACAAGGAAAAGGTAGTATTGATGCCTAGAGCCTCCTTCTTTGCCTTTCACCTCAACCAGGACATTGTTCCTTAATCTCTCTGTCTGGCTCCAGAGCATTGGAAGGAGATTTCTCTTCCTTGCCTGGATGCAGTTTATGCTGTACAGTTTTACCGCTCAGCCACTGCATCTATTAGAAAGACTGAGGCTAGGTTAACACCTAGGCGGCAGAGCTGGTGAGTGGTTTTCGCACGTTTTCATTTGTGCTGCGACTGTTCTTTGAAAACTGCGCAGTTGTCGCGCAGTTTTCAATGCATAGAGATGTATATGGAACCCAAACCGCCCGACAAGTGCACGAAAATAGCTCCTGTACCTTTTTACGCAGCAAGCAATTTCATCTGCGCGGCAAAACAACAGTCCTTATAAATAGTGGTTTTTTTTTCATCTCTCAATAGGTAAAAATATACATATACTGTATGGTAAACATGTCCTATATCAAAACCAACTTGCCAGTAGTGTAAAAAATATTCTTTGATGCTAAAATCCTCATAATATGTTTATGACGCATCAATACTAAGTGAGTTTCAGTGTGATATATCATTCTCACTGGGAAAGCTAGACTAACATTTACCTTAAATTGAGAGCTATCTTTAACAAATGTTTACTTAATCCATAACCTAAAAATACAAAAACACTTGGCATTATATAACTAGCAATGTCACACTGTTTCCATATGGTTTTCTATTTTAATCTCTTTCTAGTCAGATGTTAGTTTGGTCATCTGCCCAGAAGGGTCCACTGTGTTCTCTTAGCAGCACAACATTCAGTAAATTACTTACTGAGACAATTGTTAAATGCACCTGAAAAGATTCTGAAAGAAATACTATCTTCACCAAGATATCTTCATCACACTGAAGTATCACATTTCTTAGAATCCAATATGTAGATTGCCTCCTTTTTGTGTTATTTATCATGTTTTATGTGCTGTATTGGTGGGCTTTTCAAGTGAAACCATTTTATTTTGCAATAATCCCTAAAGCTGTGTTCTGCACTGTGTCTCATATGTTGTTTTAATTTGGCAGTTGTTCTCCATGCCATCATTTAAATGTTACAAAGCGCTGATTGCAAGCGAGCAGGAAAAACCTATGTACTCTTTGTCTATTTGTTGCTAAATTTGTCACTTAATCTCCTTTGTAATATATTTAGCGAACCAATTAGCGCTGAATGAGTCAGCTACATTCTGAGTAACTGAATTCAGCTGTTTGTAACTGGACCAAATTATGTCCTTTGAAACAAGAGAAGTCTCAAACTTTAAACAATTGATAGCTTTGTAATTAACACATATTTTTGTCCCTTGAAATAGTTTGGGATCCTTAAGGAGACAATTTACTGTGGAATCTATGCCCAAAAAGGCAATCAGTGGAAAACAGACTATCCACTTTTCCCTATTACTGACATACAATGCCATGTTCTTCACTTTATCTCTGTGTGGTGGTGACCATCTTAGTAGAGGAGCAGGGCTTTTGGTTTCTCATATTAGAATTGCCCCCTTGATAAATGATGGTTTGATGACCGATGAAGAAATATTTAAGCAGCGGGAAAAGTGCAGAAATCGCAGATCTACAGAGTGAATAAATCAGAAGAGATGCTTGCAATGTGGATTTCTCTCCAGCAAGGAGAACAGTAAGCAGTACATCAGTGACAACACCATATCGCACTCCAAATCTCAGGAGACTAGTAGTCAGAGGCACAGTGCCTTAGATGCTCTTATGTTGTAGATATATAGCTATAAGGATTTATAGATATCCAGGAGGGTCTCTGAACAGGTATAAGGGCTTGTCACTCCCACAGAGACATTGGAGGAAAGTAAACCAGAGAAAGTAGTGGGGTTTGTTTGAGTCACCCCTTAGTTGGACATATTACCAAACAAACATATAGATAAAATTACAACATTTTATTAATACATTTTATTAAAACCATAGACATCTAAAAGAACAAGAACACAATACCCTGGTGACTGGCCCACTGGTCCCACGTCAATCAGCATCTCCGCAGAGGCTAAGAGATAGACAAACTCCAAACCCATTAGGGGAAAATATATGACCATAAGTAAGTGGAAGGTCTTGCGGTGCTGAAAATGATGTGCCTCGATGCGTTTCACCTGTAAAAGTTTCCTCAGGAAAGGGACCTACTGTCTAAAGAATAAAATAGGCTAGGTCATGGGTATCAAGGGGACACCCCGATCCCAATGTACAAAAAACCTATCCTCTTTCCACCAACATGTACAGGTGGGGGCCCAAAAGAGACCACAGGGGGGAAGTGCCCCCAAAAAATACCAACAGGGTGCTGCGCTAAAGGTAAGCTTTTGGGAGATATATAACCAGCATCCCTCGAGATGGCAAGTGGTCTCATCCCTCCCCCCCCCTACATGTTGGTGTCCTACAATGTGCCAGACTGGAGATTGACATGGTCATTGTTCTGTATGGGTTGCCACATTTAAAAAAATGCAGAGAGCTCGGGTAGGCAAGGCATTGTGAAGATTAATTTGTCTGAATCTGAGATATGTACTCTCATTGGGGAAGTTACTGAAAAAGAACAAGAGGGAAGCAAATCGAATTGTTAGGGAAATTGCACATGATATTACCATTCTTGGCTTAGGAGTGTAATTTTTCAAGTTTTTTCCAGCACTCCTAGCATCTACCAGTGCGTAGTTCCTGCACTAGTGGGATGAATATGAAGTAATACATGAACACACATGAATCTAAGATGTACAGCAAGCTGTTTATTGCACATTAAAAGCCCATATACATATTCATAAGTGTATGTGAAGACATGCTGTAATGCACATCATAAACTCATATTATACATTTGCATAGGCATAAAAAAAAGGCCTTTGGATGACAGTCACCCAACCTGGCCATTTTCGGTCTTTTTTCTATAGCAAGCTTCAGACAGCTCTAGCTAAAAAATCCAGGGGGTGTAGTGTTTTTAGAAAGTTAGAAAACCTTTTCCAAGTGCTGTTATTTATTTTGAGATAAGCTGTTGCAAGCTATTCCTGCAGCATTTGAACTGCATCTGCTTCCACGAATGTCCAGAGTGTAGTCAAATAATTTTTATAGGCAATTGGATTGTGAGCATACTTACAGCTATCCCCTGATATCTATTGCCAGCTTATTGCTGATTATAGTTACCAGTTGGCCAGTCTATTCTTCAAAGTTTAATACTGGACATAGGCAGCTTGGATTTTGTTTGTTCAGCCTGCCGGCTGATTAAGATAAATCAGTCTAACAGCATCGATGGAGGAATCTCTACTACTGGCTATTAAATTCAGGCATGGCTGGTAAATACACAAGTAGGACTAATAAGGTGCAGTCGCTGTTCGGGCAATAATTTTTCAGCCGACTCAGTTGATTTTTAGTTTCAACGTTTTTTATTGGTTTCCATACTTATAGACTTATAATCAGAAACAGAAATATAGTTATATAATTATAAAACATATGTAGCGTAATAAAGCAGTAAATAGCAGTTGATGCTCTTTCAGCAGCAACAAAGCATAAGATACATTACATCTTCCTCTGCCCTATCTTTTCTATAAAGTTAATACATATCAGGAGCCCTTAATGCTTTATTCCTATGCCCTAGGCACTCCTAACTTGAATTTAGGTTTATTAAATGATTTTTAAATAAACTTTTGTTAAGCAGGAATTGGCTAGCTTAACAGGCATCTTTTTTTTTTTTTGTAGTTTTGAATAGCATGGGAAAAAGTTAACATTTCTGTCTAGTTATTTCTGACTGGGGCCCCCTTAATGAGGTTTTTAAGGGGCATTTGGTTGTCAGTGCACAGGTAGGCACAGACCTCAATAAAAATGCTGTCAGAAGTTCTAACCCTTCCTCACGCTACCTAAAATGTGTTGTTGTTTTTGTCTGTGTCCTTGGTGAAGAAATTTCCCATCACTTGCTTCAGACTCTCTACTATAATCCTCATCCTGTTCAAAATGAAATACATTTTGGCTGGAGTTGTGCAGTAATAAATCTGACCGTATGTGCACATGGTCAAGCTCATAATGCAAGCTTATATGCATCAGCTCTAGGATTCCTTTTCTTCAATCGATCGCAAACATGTTTCTGCATTTTTTAGTTTGTTTGTATTGTCATTGGGAAACTAAAACGAAAAAAAAAACATCAAATCTGTTGATACTCCTAATACATTAGATTTTGAATTTGAGAAGGGGAAAAGATACATTAAAAGGATCAAATTGAGAAAAAAATAAACTCTTAAAATCTCATAAATGTTGTGCTAAATGTATGCTTCTAGGATTTGAGAATCTTAAATCTAAATTTATTTCTTCACAACTTGTCCACATTCATAAATAAATAAACCTGCTAAAACCGAATTTATTTTACCACCGATATTTTACTTTACATTAGCTGTAAACATAAAATATGTATGTGCCATTTTTCTTTTTAAATGAAGACCATGGTAAAGAAAATATCTGAGTGGAAAAAAACAGTAGAGTCCAACAGTAGCCTGATGAAGAAGTTTGAAGAGTCCAGAGCAGAGCTTGAGAAAGTATTGAAAACGGCAGAAACATACCTGAAAGAGAAGGGAAACCCAGAGGAATTACTAAAGAAGCACACTGTAAGTAGCTTTTACCATGTGATGATATTTGTGACTTATGACATCAGGTTCCTCCAGCCTCCCATTCCGGTTTTAGGAATTGCAGACTACCACCAAAACGGGATTGCAGGTTGAACTCTTATGGTTGTTTTCGCCTGAAAATCTGAAACTAAAATAATTATTTTCACAAATAGACTAAAAATATTGCACCATGGTACCATATTTGTATTTTACAGATATTCCCAACAATCCTTCACCTAGAACTACAGCCTCCTGTACTAATGAAAACAAGATATATAGCATAGTAAAACATAATAAAAAGAGAAGGCATGTATATATAGTGGCAGTTAGGGCTTCTCTTGGTGACTCCTGTCTAGCAGTACTCTACAAATTGCTTTGATTGGGAAATCATATTTAGACCATTGCCTTGCAACATAGTCATGGCTACTCCAACTGGAAGCCCTTTGGGGAACACTCGAACAGAAATGGGTCATTTTACTTAGTGGTGGCCAGTCTCATTACAGAGCGGCCGGCTGGGTGGATCCAAAGTTCTAATAGCCTTGAGTTCATATCGTGTGATCAAAGTGTCTGGATTAGTGAGTTCCCACTACACAGCACAAATTAAAAGTCCTCTTTGCTTGTTTAAAGCATGACGACACCCAACAATCAACGTTCCTGAGATATAAAGCCCCCCCTCCCTTTATTAGGTTAAACATTACTTCAATAATTTTATCGAAGCGGAATAAGAAGACAGTAGAAGCATGTATAACTTCACTACAGCATTCAATAATTTTACAACATAATTTTACAATACAACAGCATTCAATAATTTTATCGAAGCGGAATAAGAAGACAGTAGAAGCATGTATAACTTCACTTATTGTTTTCTGTTAGCAACTTTCACCCACAATGAAATAGATACAGATGAGAGACTTTTTTAAAACAGAAATATGGGATGTGTGAAATACACTCATCCCAATAGTTAGAGCCGACGTGTGACACTGCAGCTGTATAGTTCATGAACTGAGCGATCACATACTGCTGATTGCTCAGTTCACTATCTTCTCCCTGCAGAGAGCAGTGGCTGTGAATCACCGCACCCTGCACAGATTCCCCCCTCCACTCTTTGTTCCACCAGTGCTGACTGGAGGCACAGACAGTGGAGGGGGCGAGCACAGCTGTCTCTGTCTCTAGAGAGGCAGAGCCAGCTGTTAATTAGGTAGCGGGGTGGATCCTGACAATATTGTCGGGATCCTTTCTGGCTGCAGCAAAGCTCTGCGCTGTCAGCATTTAGTGTTCAATAGCCCACTATATGCTGAGTTTTGAGTCCCATGAGGGGATTAGTAAATGTCCTCCTGTGACCCTAAAGAGAACTATGGCCAAAAACGGTTTGGTTATCATTTTCTTTTGAAAGTAAAAAAATGATGTAAAGACTAGCTCCACTTAAATATATTTATCTCATGTGGCTCTGTGCCGACCACAACTTGCACATACATTCAGGTATAGATGCATTCTCTTGGATGGAGACTGTCTGGGTTCCATCACCAATGGATCTTGACTGTTGTTTGAAGCCATGGTATCATGAAAGCTCTAGCTGGCTGAACAATATGGCTGAGCTACCTCTCGGACTGGGCTATGAGTTATCCATGTATTCCAGTTGAAAGCCCACTAAGATGGAAGAATATAGCATTTTTCATTCTGGGGGGCAGGCAAATTCCCAATCAAAATTCTTTGTCTCACTCAACCCAAAATGGGAGCATATTATTAACTACGGTAATTCACTTCTCTTTCATTGTTAAGGCTGAACTCCAGGTAAACATCTAAATACACAGATGAAACACATATATGACATTTATACAGCTATGCTACACAGCAAAGTCCTGCCTGGCATGGGAGAAGACTCAATCTTTGCTGCAGTTCCATTTTCACTTACATGTCTCCTCCCCACCCTTGCCTCTCTCCTCTCTTCCATTCTGCTCTCTCCTCCTATCCTATACTCCTTGCACTGCAGCACAGCTTATTTGGATCCTTGTCCAGATTCTCTGTCCTCCTGTATGAGTGGTGGAGGATTATAACCTCTGTTAGGTTTAAGACCTCATTCACACAAACATGCACAGCCATACAGCATGCACATCCAATCAGAAGCATGTACCCAGGAGAGACAGGTACTGTTTGTCGCCACGTGCAGCAGCCTGTACATTTCTATGATAGGATTTGACTTCGCCCGGCTACGCGCTGACCCAAACTTGCACATACATGCTGGTATGGATGCATGCTCTTGGACAGAGACTGTCTGTTTAGCAGTAGTATTTTAACATAAGGCAGTCGGGCAGTCTGTACATTTACAGCAAAATAGATTATTTAGTCCACTTTTATTAGAACAAAAGGCATTGTCGGTTATTCTATAACATTTTTTTTTTATTGCAGGATTTTTTTGGGCAGTTAGATCTGAAGGTTCTTAATGCTTTCCTGAAAGCTTGTGATGAGCTGACAGATATCCTGCCAGAGCAAGACCAGCAGCCACTTCAAGAAACTGTCAGGAAATTACATAAACAATGGAAGGTTTGTATTTCAGTTTACGTTGAGATTTCAGTTTATATTATTAAATACATTAGGTTTTTGTGAGCTAAGAAACATTCCTGGAAATAAAGTCATATTCAATTTAGTTTATTGCATGTTTGTGAAACATTACTTCAGGGTTTTATTAATGCATTCTTGATCTGTTTTCACTGCTACTCCTTCTTGCTGAGAGGCCATTTTAATAGGTTAAGACATCTTGTATTGATGCTTTCTGACCATTGGAGCTGATCCAGGCAAAGAAAAAAAGTAACTTTATATCCATTTATTAGAAACTGGTCCTGAAATTTGGATGACCTGCATCTGCCATAACAACAACCACAGGGATCAGTGGATCAGTGAATAAAATCATGTTTCCTTCTAAACATTATTTTCATTCTTCTTTGTTTGTGTCATAGGATTATCAGAGTGAAGCTCCCTACCATTTACTACATCTGAAAATTGAGTTGGAGAGGAATAGGATTCTATCTTCAGTTGAGGAATGCCGAACGGAGTTGGTACGGGAAAACAAAATACTTGCAGTAGATGGCAGTCAGAAGGTTTTGAAAGAACACAGGGTGCGTATACATTGAAGATACTTTCTACCTGAGAAATGAACCATGGAAATGCCAGAATAATAACAGAATCATAACAATGAGAATAATAACACTGAGTCAAACTGGATAGAATAATAATGTTGTGTCATAACAAAGTCACCAAAGGACTCCTTTTCAAGAATCCCCATCTAGTATGAATGGGCTCCAAAGTCTCACATTTTGCTCACTGGTCATACACTACAGTGATTTACATTATGGTACAAAGATGAAAATTCCTGTGTGACCATGATGATGTAGATTGTAAGCTCTTATGGGCAGGGCCCTCCTAACCATCTTGTCTTAAATTGTAATGTAATTATAATGTCTTCCTTATACTGCAAAGCACTGTGCAAACTGTTGGCACTACATAAATCCTGAATAATAATAATACAAATAATAATAATGGTACAGCCTTAGTAAAACATTTTGTATTGAACTGGCACCAAGCCCATCTGAGTGCCATGTTAAGGGGGCTTCCTTATTTTTCAAAACCAGAACGGCATTTATATGTTTATTTGATATTGATCCTTAACTAGACATTGAGTAGTGCACTATTCTTCAAGCAGGTTACTTTTCTGTGTGGTTATGCTGTGCGATTATTCTGTAGATTTCTGTGGAGCAAGTCACTAGGCTAGCTTTGATAGCTTTTGATATAGGCTGAATGGACAAAACACAGGTTGACTATAAATTAAGTTACTTAGTTCAGTTAATAAACAATGGATAAAATATTTGATTAATGAATTAAATCCAGCTTTGACAACCGTCTCTTCTTCACTTTTATGACTGTTTCATTATAGGCTTTCTTTGGTGAGAAAGGATGCTACCAGCTGTGTGAGAAGAGGCTGAGACTGATTGAAGAGCTGTGTTTAAAACTACAGGAGAGGGACCCCATAAAAGGAGTTTATGAAAGCAGCAGAGTGGTGCTAAAAGACCTGAAAACTCAGATTGATAATACACATCTAAAACTGATGGAGCATCCGGACAAGTGGAAGAATTTCAGGATCAGGTACAGTTTTAAAACATAAGCCATATCTTACTCATACAGCACTGTATCAGTGTCATTGTTGAGTCAGTTTTCCTAGACATTATATGGACAACACACACTAAGTCACTTGAGCAGGAAAGTGGGTGTGAATGCCATGCCAGGTCACAGTGATCAGTCACTGGAAAATATTCTGGGAGAAAACAAAAGAGAAGGGCGCCCACCCTAGTGTAGATTCTTTTTAATATTGTATATTGAGGTAACAATAAAAACATACTCACAAAAGTGAATCAAGACAAAAGTGTAAAAGGTAAGCCAGGATGACATCTGAAACAAGCTGCACAGAAACCTGTGTGACAGCACAGGACTCCTTACGATGACGCGTTTCCGTGGCCACGCCCCCTTCGTCCAGATCTGACGAAGGGGGCGTGGTCCCGGAAACGCGTCATCGTAAGGAGTCCTGTGCTGTCACACAGGTTTCTGTGCAGCTTGTTTCAGATGTCATCCTGGCTTACCTTTTACACTTTTGTCTTGATTCACTTTTGTGAGTATGTTTTTATTGTTACCTCAATATACAATATTAAAAAGAATCTACACTAGGGTGGGCGCCCTTCTCTTTTGTTTTCTCCCACAGTGTTGCAGCTTCCCAGGCTGAAGTGGGGCAGCACCCCTAGTAATCTTCACCCGCAACTATCCTTCATTTGTTGGTCAACGTTTGGCGCTTCTGATTCATTTTTTATTGACTGTAAAATATTCAACCAAAGCTTTGAGTTGTGTCCAGTTCAGCTGATATGATTGTTCCAGGCCAGTGGAGGAATGTTAACATTTGGCCTAGGGGTGTAAACAAGCCATGCTACCATGGCTGTGTTTACACCCCTAGGCCAAATGTTAACAGACAGACAGATTTCTGTGGGCTAAAAAGGGTGTACCAATTGAATCCTGTATTCAGGATCCCATATTTATTGGTGGGCATGATGAAGCATGGTTGCTAATGAAGGGAACAATGCCCCCTGCCTCCCGGCTCAGTCCTCCCCTGTCCTAGGCCCATGGAAGAATTCTTAACATGCATATACTATATTTTTATGTGAATGGCCACCTTCATGGCTTTTTGGATGCCTAGGATACAACTAACTGACAAAAAACACTATTTAGTTTTTTGTTTATTAAGAATTATAACCTAATCTAAAAAACACTGGCTTCCTTAGTACCATTCTCCTGATTTCTGTTGCCTCAGATTTCCATTTTAGTGGAGAAGTTTCCTTTTGACATCATATGTACTGTATTCTACAGCCAGAAATAGGCAAAATAATTGGGTGTTTGATTTGGCCATAGTGAGACTTTGACTTTACCAGAAACATCCTCATATATTCTGCTTTTTACGCTGTGCTAATTTTGAACACATTATTTTGTTGTTACTGTTTCTTATTGTCCTAGTGTTACTGACCGACCCTCTTCAACTTTACAGATTAAAAGATGTGTCGGATTGGCTGGCAGCAAAGGACAACCAGTTAAATCAAATTAAAAGCGGGGCTAAAGACATTACAAAATATGAACAAATAAAATCGTCAGTGCAGGTAACAAGTTTTCAGACCTGATGTGCTTAGACTTGAGGCAGTGGTTTTGTATAGGATGTTAACTGATTACTTTATTTTATACTATGCTCTGCCACTAAATACTGTGTAGAACAATCAGGTAAGACACAAATGGTAAATATTTTAGGGACTGTAATTGCTCCAGATCTATAATTACTTTATCTGCCTTTTTTCGGTGGACTATAGACCCATTACCTCTTGGTTTCCAGTGGTTGAGCATTTTAGCAGCATACAAACAGGGATGCTTTTTGATATCATACTGCCCTAGGCACCCCTGAATAATGATGATGCTTTTTTTTTTGCACGCCTTGCCTTATGTGTCATGTGATTATTTTAGTACAAAAAGAATACTAGAATTCATTATGGGATGCGCAGCATAGTCTACTTTATATGCAAAAATGTTTTTCAACTGCAACAAAGAGGAGAGATGATTTTATATTTCTTGAACTATACAGAGTCTTCTAACTCCTCTCAGCATTCACTGCACCCCCTTCCCTTCTTTCTACATTGCACTTGCTTAATTAAGCCACAAATAGGTCAAGAGGTTGACAGGAGAAGGAAACAAAATAAGGAAAAAGTTATAATTTTTTGCAGATTTTGTAAAGTCACTCTGTCTCTCCTAGCCCCCAAGTGCCTTGTGGTTAAAGAAGAACTCCAGGAAATTAACCCTATTAACCTGAGCTGGCTTCCTCTTAGACCGGTCCTTCCAACATCTCAACCTTCCTCTGCAGCGGTCTAAGGTCCCGTAACTCATCATGTCTGTACACAGTGTATAGACATGAGGATGCTGAGGAAGATTACAATGTTGCAGGGAGGGGAAGGCTGGAGGGAGCATCGTGACAGCTGGGTGGCTCGGAGCTTCGGGGTGAGTATATCTTTGTTATTTTAGCACCTAGACACAAATGAACACTTAACTCTTGCAGTGCGGGGGTAGCCCCACTGCTAGGGTTAATAAAAAATATTCCTGGAGTTCTTCTGTAATATATTCCTACTTTCAGTCTTTGCATGTGAGCATGTTTGATATGGTTTCTTTGAGCTGTCTTCAGTCTCCAGTGCAGTGCAGGAGAATCTTCTGATGTGATTAGGGATTCTAAGCAATCTAAGGATTTCAAAGTCAGACTGTTGCTGACATACTCCTAGCCCAGCCATTTACAGCTGGAATGACAGACATAGGGGGTGATTTACTAACCTAAACACACACACGCACCAGGTGCGTGTGCATTTTTACACAGCAAAACTTATTTATCAACCAAACACGAGCAACGTGTCACATTTTCACGTCGTTATGGCGCGTTTTTATGTATTTACTTACGTGCGCGTCATGTAGCATGCGCCATAGGCTACACGCCGCTCTAATAGCGGCATGCAAGTCTCTAAAAGCATATTTCCACTAATGCCATATATGGAAAAATTATGCACATGATGCATATATAATGCTGCTTTACAGTTTAGACAAAAATGGTTAGCTCATGCATTTACATCCCTGCATTCATCAACGCAAGCAACAAAACGTAGAGCTAATTTACACAACATCACCTTGCAATTCATGCAGGGCTTTGCACAACACACCTGCTGGGTGTGTACACACTACAAAGGTGTCTAGATTCCACCAATAGATCATGTTGGGAGGGAACACACTACAGAGGTGTATACTTGTTTGTGGCGTGTTTATAAGGTTAGTAAATCAACCCCATAGTATCAAGGAATGCCAATCATCCCTGAATCCTCACCTACAGCCTGAGGACATGTCATAGGTCTACATAGAGCTAAAGTGTATCTGAGATCTGTGAAGTTGACGAAAGCCATTGGGCGTCATTTTGAGTCTCCCAGTCCTTCGAGCTGGGGTTAAAAGAGGAGACCAAGCAGTAACATTGCTGCCAATAAAATATAGAAAATAAGTTATTTACTGTTCTTTTTATGATTTTCGCTTTGTGAATGTGTAAAGTTTAAAATTATCTTAATACTATGGCATGACTTTTGTAACTCCAATGGGAATATTTACCTTTACTGCCAGATATGCTGGACAGCAAGAGTTTGCATCAAAATGTAAGGCCCACTTATCTTGTAGATCCCCAACCCTGCAAGGAAAGAATACACTGGTAAATTAAATAAACAAACAAAACAACAACATCAGAAGAAAAAGGTAAAAGTTACTCACCTTCCATGCACCTCCTGTATGTGCCAGTGATATCACAGGACCCTTTTCCAGGTTACTTGTAAAACTCAGATTTCTAAATCTCACAAGATGGCACTTCAGCACTTTGTAGGAGCATCTTCTTATGGGTTTTGGGATCCTCAGTTTTCCCAGGTTCCCAGAAGAAGGTCCAGTGATGTCACACTTACCTCAGCAAGCTTGCCAGAACTCAGGGTGTAAGATGAGTATTATTTTACCTTTTTTTACAATTGAATTGTAATTTTCACATGTTAGTGTTGAGGCTCTACAAAACACGAGGATCTTCTTCTTTTAATTCAAGGTCCACTTTAAAATTCCTCTATTTTAATAATTAATAATCTTATGGAAAATTCACTAAGGGCCTGGTATAACCAGCATTAATGTGTTGCCAGCTCCTAAAAGTATTACCAGCAGATGTAGAATGTACTGCAGGGAAAATAACTAAGAGAGACATAGCCAACTGAAGCAGGGGTAGATTTCTCCACCAGGAATAGAGATAATAGAAAAGACCAGGTTGGGGATCAAACCCTTCAATACTCATTCTAAACTGAATAAAAACATTTTCTAGTAGAATTCTGCTTTAAAAGCTACTTACATTTGTCAGTTAATGGGTAGAATATCTAAAGCCAAATGCTATGATACATACAGTATATGTTTTACTGTAAATGCTATATTGTTTAATATTTTTTAACCACAAAGCTAAAAGCTGGAATCAGTGAGCTAACTATTCTGGTAAATAAAGGGTGGAGCAATCCATGCAGTTCATAATGATGGATCTAACTTTTCCCTATGCTTCCATTCCTATTTCTCATGATTATCGATATTCATAAACTTAATGGCATGCTTGTCACTAACTTGGAGAAATTTATTATTACAGGAAATTAGACAAGATGTGGTTAAACAAGAGGATAACCTCAGGTATTTGAAAGACAGCCTGGCTGCACTTACTGAAGTATCAGTGGAGAAGGAAGTAAGAAAGCAAAATATTGATCTAACAAGACTTTCTGACAGCTTCAAATCTTTCTTGGACTCGCTAGATGAGGTACACAGCAGTAACACTTCACCGTTACATGGATATTTCTTGCCTCATTATAAGTCCTATTCATTTTTGCTATTACTGATACTAGAGCTCTTGTTTTTATTATAAAAAAAAAAAAAATCCAAGCAACAAACTGGCGTCATTACAAAATGTATATATAATATGTGTCCTAGCACAATAAATATTTAGTGAAGCTAGTCTTTTTTCCATTAGGTACATTCGGCATGGCAAGGCAGTTACTTATACCTAGGCTGAGCATATGTCCCTTTTTAAATGGGACAGTACCGTTTTTTTGTTAATTTTTCCCCCGTCCCATCGTTTCTTATAAAACGTGTGTCCCGTTTTCCTTCTTAGGAGAGTCTGTGCGCCTCCTTAATAAGACGAGCCTTAACTTCTACATCTGTGCATCCAGCCGGTCTCATTAAGGAGGCACACGGAGCGCACTCCTAAGAAGTCTCCGCCAGCGCTCATTCTTCCTCTGCAGCAGCATTGACTGGGAGGAAGCTACGTATAGGCACACAGAGGTGTTGAAAGACTGAAACTTGCTGCATAAGATTACTTCCTCTGAAAAATATTCATGGTACAATTGTGGTGAAATACAGTCCCCCTCTACAGCTACCTAAATGTTTGTATGAGTACTGTCACTGGAGAATGATTGTTTATTCTTGACATGTGCATTTGGATTTGGTCGTACTGCCAAATCCAAAAATTTCCATCAATTCGGCAGTTCATGCAAACCCGAATTACTATATACCCAAATATACAAAAACTATATATTCGTCATATAGAAATTTGATGTATGGATGCCGCCATCTTGGTGCATCTGACCTCACGTAAGAAGACACATCACCCTCTTGGATGCACCTTGATGGCGGCGCCCATTGTTTCTATGCATGCATGCGTGCATATGGCGGGGACATTTTTTTTTTTAATGTGCATTTTCAGATTTGGAGGCTCGTTGCCTTCGAATCTGAAACAGCATAATCATTTTGTCAGGAACTGTAACCACGCTAAGTAAACTCTTCCTTACACTCTCGTATCCCTTTTGCATTTATAAGATTATTGGCCAGAATTGAAGTGAAAAAGAGATTAAAGCTCACAATGTGCACCCCCTGCAAGATGGTGCCTTAGTCTGGTTAACAGGTCACGCATAGCTAAGGACAGTTGTGATGTTATAGAATTGGCTAGGCATGGGTGGAATCATTATATATATATATATA